TCAGAAACAGCCCTTCCCTTGGTTGGGAGGCTGGCCAATCAAAGCAGAGGAGGGCTTTTGGTGGGAGGGGAGAGCAGGCGTGCTCAGCACACGGCAGCATGGTGCCATGCACTGAGCACACCTGCTCTCCCCTCCCTGCTTGGAGTCTCAGAAACAGCCCTCCCCTTGGCTGAGAGGCCAGCCAATCAAAGCAGAGAAGGGCTTTTGGTGGGAGGGGAGAGCAGGCGTGCTCAGCACATGGCAGCATGGTGCAGTGCGCTGAGCACGCCTGCTCTCCCCTCCCCTCCCCTCCCTACTTGGAGTCACAGTAACAGCACTTCCCTTGGTTGGCAGGCTGGCCAATCAAAGCAGAGGAGGGCTTTTGGTGGAAGGGGAAAGCAGGCGTGCTCAGCACATGGCAGCGTGGTGCCATGCGCTGAGCACGCCTGCTCTCCCCTCCCATATTGAGTCTCAGAAACAGCCCTTCCCTTGGTTGGGAGGCTGGCCAATCAAAGCAGAGGAGGGCTTTTGGTGGGAGGGGAGAGCAGGCGTGCTCAGCACACGGCAGCATGGTGCCATGCACTGAGCACACCTGCTCTCCCCTCCCTACTTGGAGTCTCAGTAACAGCCCTTCCCTTGGTTGGGAAGCTGGCCAATCAAAGCAGAGGAGGGCTTTTGGTGGAAGGGGAAAGCAGGCGTGCTCAGCACATGGCAGCGTGGTGCCATGCACTGAGCACGCCTGCTCTCCCCTCCCTGCTTGGAATCTCAGAAACATCCCTTCCCTTGGCTACGAGACCAGCCAATCAAAGCAGAGGAGGGCTTTTGGTGGAAGGGGAAAGCAGGCGTGCTCAGCACATGGCAGCGTGGTGCCATGCGCTGAGCACGCCTGCTCTCCCCTCCCTGCTTGGAATCTCAGAAACATCCCTTCCCTTGGCTACGAGACCAGCCAATCAAAGCAGAGAAGGGCTTTTGGTGGGAGGGGAGAGCAGGCGTGCTCAGCACATGGCAGCATGGTGCAGTGCGCTGAGCACGCCTGCTCTCCCCTCCCCTCCCCTCCCTACTTGGAGTCACAGTAACAGCACTTCCCTTGGTTGGCAGGCTGGCCAATCAAAGCAGAGGAGGGCTTTTGGTGGAAGGGGAAAGCAGGCGTGCTCAGCACATGGCAGCGTGGTGCCATGCGCTGAGCACGCCTGCTCTCCCCTCCCCTACTTGGAGTCTCAGAAACAGCCCTTCCCTTGGTTGGGAGGCTGGCCAATCAAAGCAGAGGAGGGCTTTTGGTGGGAGGGGAGAGCAGGCGTGCTCAGCACACGGCAGCATGGTGCCATGCACTGAGCACACCTGCTCTCCCCTCCCTACTTGGAGTCTCAGTAACAGCCCTTCCCTTGGTTGGGAAGCTGGCCAATCAAAGCAGAGGAGGGCTTTTGGTGGAAGGGGAAAGCAGGCGTGCTCAGCACATGGCAGCGTGGTGCCATGCACTGAGCACGCCTGCTCTCCCCTCCCTGCTTGGAATCTCAGAAACATCCCTTCCCTTGGCTACGAGACCAGCCAATCAAAGCAGAGGAGGGCTTTTGGTGGAAGGGGAAAGCAGGCGTGCTCAGCACATGGCAGCGTGGTGCCATGCGCTGAGCACGCCTGCTCTCCCCTCCCTGCTTGGAATCTCAGAAACATCCCTTCCCTTGGCTACGAGACCAGCCAATCAAAGCAGAGGAGGGCTTTTGGTGGGAGGGGAGAGCTGGCGTCCTCAGTGCATGGCAGCGTGGTGCCATACACTGAGCACGCCTGCTCTCCCCTCCCTACTTGGAGTCTCAGAAACAGCCCTTCCCTTGGTTGGCAGGCTGGCCAATCAAAGCAGAAGAGGGCTTTTGGTGGGAGGGGAGAGCAGGCGTGCTCAGTGCATGGCAGCGTGGTGCCATGCGCTGAGCATACCTGCTCTCCCCTTCCCCGCTTGGAGACAGGCGGAGGAATCTTCAGCCTTCTCTGCCAAAGGGGTTCCTAAGACCATCAGAAATATATGTTCTCTGATGGTCTTTGGTGACCCCTCTGAAACCCCCCAGGAGTCTCAACCCAAAGGTTGAGAAACACAGTACTATGGCCTAGAACACAGGGATTATTGGAGAGCAGCCTGAAAGGATCACAAGCATTTCATAGAACCTTCACTGTAAATTAAATTGAAAATACAGATAGGGGTATATATGGGGGGGGGGGGGGAATCACTGGTGCTTTGCAATAAATGCAGCCTAGCATTCTGGCTCTGTTGCCGTGCTCTGTCTAACCTCTCTCCAAAGGAGCAGGATGCGGCCCAGCCTTTCCAGTTGCTCAAGCAGATTCCACTCCAGGCTTGATTGGAACTGAATGCTGTCGGAAGCAATTCACATCTGCTGCATTCCTTCCAATTTGTTTATAGCAAGGAGGCTAGTTTGCCATCAGTCAATAATAGCAAATTTGCTCCAAAGGATATGCTAATGCGTTGTGAAATTTCAGGCGAAAATCCCAAGTAGGGAACAAAAGACCCGGTGAACTCAGCGTGACTGATTCTTTTTCTCGGAAACATATTTGTAAGGCGACCGCCAATGTTATGTTTAATTTAATTCCTCGCTATAAAGACAATAATAGACGTTATTATTCTTTACCCATTAGTTCTTTTGTATACAGCAACATCCACCTACACGGCGCTTCGCGGAATGCAAAGTAATGCCTCCCCTGCCTAGAGGATTTATAATATTTAGATTATCTGGAAATAAACTTAATCCAAGACCTCCATAGGAATCACAAAGCGAGATTAAAAAGAGATGGATTTAAACACAAACAAACCTGGACATTTAATGAAGAAATAATATATCGAATCTTAGAATCATAAAGTTGGAAGATACCTCGTGGGTCATCCAATCCAATGCCATTCTGCTAAGAAGCAGGAAAATTGCATTCAAAGCACCCCCGATAGATGGCCATTCAGCCTCTGCTTAAAAGTCTCCAAAGAAGGAGCCTCCACCACACTCCGGAGCAGAGAGTTCCACTATCTAACAGTTAGGAAGTTCTTCCTCATATTCAAGTAGAATCTCATTTATTTCCTGTAGTTTGAAGTCATTGCTCTATTGCACCCAAGTCTCCAGGGCAGCAGAAAACAAGCTTGCTCCCTTTTCCCTATGAATTCCCCTAACCTATTTATACATGGCCCTCATCATGTCTCCTCTCAGCCTTCTCTTCTTCAGGCTAAACATGCCCAGCTCTTTAAGCCACTCCTCATAAGGCTTGTTCTCCAGACCCTTGATCCTTTGAGTTGCCCTCAGTGATCTGATCAAGGCAGAATAGAGGGGATCCCTGGGTCTAGACACTAGCTTCCTATTGATGCAGGCCAAAATCACATTGGCTTTTTGAGCCACCGCATCACATTCCTGGCTCACATTCAGCTTCCTGTCCATCTCCTGCTGTCAAGCCCCCTTATTCTTTGCATTTCCATTTTTCTGCCTGTGGAGTCTCTTGCATTTGTCCCTGTTGAACTTCATTTTGTTAGTTTTGGCCCATCATTTCTCTCATCTGTGAAGATCATTTTGAATTTTGCTCCTGTCTTCTGGAGAACAAGCTGAACAGGAGCCAAGATGTTCACGCAGCAGCTCAAAAAGCCAATGGGATTTTGGGCTGCATCCAAAGGAGTCTAGTGTCTAGATCAAGGGAAGTCATGGCGCCTCTCTATTCTGCTTTGGTTAGACCTCTTCACCAGGAATCACACTGTGTCCAATTCTTGGCACCACAGTTTAAAAGAGATATTGACTCTAAGCTGGGAGGTATCGACCTTATACTGTGACCTTATATCTTATACTGGTTGGTGCGTTTATTTATACTGTTTTTGTATTATTATTATTATTATTATTATTATTATTACATGAGAGCCATGTATAAATGTGTGAAAGGATGTCCTAAGGAAGAGGGAACAGGTTTTCCTGGAGACTAGGACTTGGAGAAATGAGTTCAAATTACAGGAAAGGAGATCCCACCTGAACATTAAGAAGAACTTACTGACCGTATGAGCTGCTCAACAGTGGAACTCTCTGCCTCGGAGTATGGTGCAAGTGCCTTCCTTGGAGACTTTTAAACAGAGGCTGGAAGGCCATCTGTCATGGGATGCCTTGACTATGCTTTTCCTGCATGGCAGGGGGTTGGACTAGATGACCCTTGTGATCTTTTCCAATTCTTTGATTCTATGATTTCTGTGTTCTGTCCTGGAGAGCCATGAGATGGGTCACATGAATGGAAATATGGAAAAATCAATGTATTGCCGACGGCTTTCATGGCCGGAAACACTGGGTTGTTGTAGGTTTTTTCAGGCTATATGGCCATGGTCTAGAGGCATTCTCTCCTGACGTTTCACCTGCATCTATGGCAAACATCCTCAGAGGTAGTGAGGTCTGTTGGAACTAGGAAAAAGGGTTTATATATCTGTGGAAAGACCAGGGTGGGACAAAGGACTCTTGTCTGCTGGAGCTAGGTGTGAATGTTTCAACTGACCACCTTGATTAGCATTTGATGGCCTGACAGTGACAGTGACTCCCTTGTTTTCTTTTGCACTTTTCAATTGCATTTGCTTATCCTTTGTGTTTGCTGAAGTAAAGTATTTTTCTTTTACTTTCAACATTGTCTAAAGGCTGTTTTGGAGGGCAAGCATCTCACTACCTCCGAGGATGCTTCCCATAGATGCAGGCAAAACGTCAGGAGAGAATGCCTCTAGACCATGGCCATATAGCCCGAAAAAACCTACAACAACCCATGGAAAAATCAGCTTCTTCTGTGTGGATAACAATGGTGTTGCAGGTTCTATGAGGTGCTATATACAAGATCAAAATTAGAAGGTGGAAACATGGGTTCCCGAGATGCCCCTAGCTAGCATAGCTAGTAGATGTTGGGTAGATGCTGACCATTTCCAAGCTCTGTCGCACATGTTCCACAACAACATCGTACTATCTAGGACTCTTTCAGAAGGAGATACCCCTGTAGAAAGCAGAGGCTTTCTGCTACCTTCCACGTACCTGTTCCAAAATGGTATTTATTCTTTCTACTTCGCAGTCTATCAAGTATCTTTTCTCCTGCCGCTTGTCCATTTCCTCAATGATGGCCTTGAACTCCTGGATGTCCTTGATGCTTCCCATGGACCGGGCTGTCACTTGCCAATTATTTTGCACGGCGGCTTCCATAATTGCCTGAAGAATGGAAAATCCTAGAGACAAAGAGGAAGGAAAAAAAAGACTGGAATTAAAAAACCTAAATAACAAGAACAAGACGATTTTTGTTGTGTGGCTTAAATAACAAGCTCTGCTCTGGAAACAGCGGCAGTGTTTATTACTCAGTAAAATTAATAACCTTCAAATCTTCTGTGGACAATAGACACGCCGTTCAAATTTCCGACCTGCCTGTTGTAACCCACTTGATTTAGCACAGTTGCTAGGATATGGATAATATTCCCCATAAAATACTAACCATGTGTCTGGAGACTTTTTAAGGCCCGCTCATCCCGTTGTTATGAAAGATACAAGGGTACAGCCGTATATACAGCCCAACAACACTGTACAACGTTCCCTATTGAGCCATTCCCAACTGGCCTACCAAACTGCTGAAAGGGGAAACTAGAAAGCCCAAATGTCACCTCAAATATAACTGTGAGAGAAATTAGGGAAAGCCACCCATTGCACGGCTATCAGTCTGCGCAGTCTGGCTTTAGACCGGGGCATGGAACCGAGACAGCCTTGGTCACCTTAGTTTATTATTTATTTATTTATTTAAAAGTTTTGTATACCGGCCTTCTCACCTCTCTTGAGGGATTCAGACTGTTTCCAACCATAATATCACATACAATCAATAAAACATCATAATACATATTACAGTAAAACATTAAAACAGCAATTACAATCAATAACTATAATGGTCAGTCGTCACACTAAAATCGCTGCTCATTATCCTCCATCCATATCTCAGGGTGTTGGCTCACTCGTCTAATGCCTGTCTTCATAACCACGTCTTCACCTGTTTCCTAAATGTCAGGATAGAAGGGGCGGTTCTGATCTCCAGTGGGAGAGAGTTCCAGAGTCGTGGGGCCACCACCGAGCAGGCCCTGTCCCTCGTCCCCACCAGATGCGCTTGCGAGGCCGGTGGGACCGAGAGCAGGGCCTCTCCAGACGATCTTAATAATCTTGATGGTTCATAGGGGAGAATACGTTCGGAGAGGTAAACAGGGCCGGAGTCGTTTAGGGCTTTATAGGTTAACAACAGCACTTTGAATTGTGCTCGGAAGCTAATTGGCAGCCAGTGGTGTAACAGCGGAGTGGTGTGCTCCCTGTACCCAGCACCCGTTAGTAGTCTGGCTGCCGAGTGTTGGACTAGCTACAGCTTCCGGGCAGTCTTCAGAGGCAACCCCACGTAGAGAGTGTTGCAGTAGTCTAAACGGGATGTAACCAAAGCGTGGACCACCGTGGCCAAGTCAGACTTCCCAAGGTATGAGCGCAGCTGGCGCACAAGCTTTAATTGTGCAGAAGCTCCCCTGACCACTGCCGAAACCTGGGGCTCCAGGCTCAGCGATGAATCTAGGAGAACTCCCAAACTGCAAACCTGCACCTTGATTATCTGCGCCGGGAGCTGGACAGGCATAGTGTGTCCCTGTTGGTTCTGCTGGACCTCTCAGCGGCCTTCGATACCATCAACCACGGTATCCTTCTGGGATGCCTTTCAGGAATGGCCCTTGGAGGTACTGTTATACAGTGGCTCCAGTCCTTCCTGGAGGGACACACCCAGAAGGTGTTACTGGGGTCACCTGTTCAACCCCACAACCATTGTCTTGTGGCGTTCCTCAGGGTTCAATACTGTCTCCCATGTTGTTCAACATCTACATGAAGCTGCTGGGGGAGATCATCCAGAGTTTTGGGGTGCGGTGTCATCTGTACGCAGATGATGTCCAACTCTGTCACTCCTTCCCATCTGCTACTAAGGAGGCTGTCCAAGTCCTGAACTGGTGCTTGGCCGCTGTGACGGTCTGGATGAGGGTGAACAAATTGAAATTGAATCCAAGACAGCGGTCCTCCTGGTCAGTCGCAAGGCTGAACAGGGCATAGGGTTACAGCCTGTGTTGGATGGGGTTACATTCCCCCTGAAGAGACAGGTTCGCAGCTTGGGAGTGATTTTGGATTTATCACTGAGCCTGGAACCCCAGGTCTCACCGGTGACCGGGGGAGCATTTGCACAATTAAAACTTGGGCGCCAGCTGTGCCCGTTCCTTGGGAATCTAACTTGGCCACAGTGGTCCATGCTCTGGTTACATCCCATATAGACTACTGCAATGCTCTCTACATGGGGTTGCTTTTGAAGACTGCTTTGAGTGCCCCCAGGGGTGAGAAAGGTGGTAAATAAATACTGTAAATAAATAAAATAAATAAGACTGTCCGGAAGTTTCAAATGGTCCAACGGTTGGCAGCCAGGTTACTAACAGGAGAGGAGCATACAACTCCTATCTTGCACCAGCTCCATTGGCTGTCCGTTTGCTACCGGGCACAATTCATAATGGTGGCTTTAGCCTATAAAGCCCTAAACGGTTCTGGCCCAACTTATGTGTCTGAATGCATCTCCTCCTATGAACCAGCTAGGGAGTTAAGATCGTCTGGGGAGGCCCTGCTCTCGGTCTTGCCTGCATCACAAGTACGTTTGGTGGGGATGAGAGACAGGGCCTTCTCAGTGGTGGCCCCTCAGCCATGGAACGCCCTTCCTATAGATATTAGATTGGCCCCCTCCCTGTTGACATTTTGGAGGAAAGTGAAGACTTGGTTGTTCGAGCAGGCATTTGAATAGGCAGTGTAATGAATATAGGAATATGGAACAATTGGATGATGAGACTGGATCTTGACAATGAGACGCTCATGAGATGTTTTATTGATTTATATTGACTATTATGCTACTGTTTTAATTGTTTTTAACTGTTTTATGATGTTTTTGAGCATTGAATTTTGCTATTGTTAGCCACTCTAAGTCGCCCAAGGGCTGAGAAGAGCGGTATACAAATATAGTAAATATCGTAAATAAATCAGCCTCTTCCCAGTAGTCTCAAATCAAGGAAAAGTTTTATGAGAACCACCATTCCTCTTAGTGTTCCCCCAGCAACAGCTAAACCAGGAAATCCCAAATGGATGGCTCTCCATGAGGGTCTTCCTCCATGGGCAAACCAAGAATGAATTTCAATGGCTTCTCTGCTGGACTACTCTCACAATCACCATGTCAGATTACACAGAGAAGCCATTGAAATCCACAAGCATGTGGACAATTTCAACAGAAAGGAGGAAACCATGAAAATGAACAAAATATGGCTACCAGTATTAAAAAATTCTAAAATTATAACAATAAAACAACACTCCAACACAGGGAAACTCCAGAGCGGAAACAATCAGGGACAGCTAATCACCTCTCAACAAAGGAGGTAGTAAGAGGTAGTAAGAAGCCACACTTTGAAACTGCTAGGCCATCAAATGATAATCAAAGTGGCCAACTGAAACATTCACACCTACCTCCAACAGATAAGAGTTCTTTCTTGCACCCTGGACATTATTCTACAGATATATAAACCCCATTTTCCTAGTTCCAACAGACCTCACAACCTCTGAGGGTGCCTGCCATAGATGCAGGCAATACGACAGGAGAGAATGCTTCTAGAACATGGCCATATGGCCCAAGAAACCTACAACAACAACTACTTGGAGTTTTGGAGTTGTAGTTCACCTACATCCAGAGAGCGCTTTGGACTCAAACAATGATGGAGCCGGACCAAACTTGGCAGAAATACTCAATATGTCCAAATGTGAACACTAGTGGAGTTTGGGGAAAATAGACTTGACATTTGGGAGTTGTAGTTGCTGGGATTTATAGTTCACCTACAATCAAAGAGCATTCTGAACCCAACCAAGGATAGAATTTGGCCAAACTTCCCACACAGAATCCCATGACCAACAGAAAATACTGTGTTTTCTGTTGGTCTTGGTGAACCCTCTGACACCCCCTCGTGACCCCCACAGGGGTCCCAACCCCCAGGTTGAGAAACGCTGGGCTAGATGTTTAAACATCTTCAGATCCCTATGGAAGGAGGACAGTGTGAGCGCCTGCCTAATATCCCTGGGGAGCATGTTCCAAAGCCAGGGGGCCACCACCGTGAAGGTCCTGTCCTTCATCCCCAACATGTTTGTGATAGTGGTGGGACCGAGAGGAGGGCCTCCCTGGCAGATCTTAACACTTGCACATGTTCATATGGGGAGTGGGGGATGCAGTCATGAAGTTAGGCAGGGCCTGAACCATTTACTGTAAATTGAGAACTGTATATGCTTGTGTAAACATTGACTGCATATAAAAAGTAGCTTTGAGGACATCATTGTGGATGTTAGAACTCAAGGATCAATCAGTGGAGAAGGGAAAGCGCCAATGGCATCCCTGACAATTATCACCATTTCTCTGCTCAGACATTCAGAAAGATCACAAGGGTTGCCAATGGTAAAGAGAGCAGAGGGGCTCTTGCCTTTCCCCACTCTACTCAGAGATGGGAATGGTTCATTTTTTGGTCAGCATTAAGCTACAGTGCTCAATTGACCTATGGATACATTGACTTAGGTCAGTGTTTCCCAACCTGGGGGTCGGGACCCCTGGAGGGGTCATGAGGGGGTGTCAGAGGGGTCACCAAAGACCATCCTGAAAACACAGTATTTTCTGTTGGACATGGAGGTTCTGTGTGGGAAGTTTGACCCAATTCAATTATTGGTAGGGTTCAGAATGCTCTTTGATTGTAGGTGAACTATAAATCCCAGCAACTACAACTCCCAAATGTCCCAAAAACTCCACCAGAGTTCACATTTGGGCATATTGAGTATTCGTGCCAAGTTTGGTTCAGATGCATCATTGTTTGAGTCCACAGTGTTCTCTGGATGTAGGTGAACTACAACTCCCAAACTGAAGGTCAATGTCCACCAAACCCTTCCAGTATTTTCTGTTGGTCATGGGAGTTCTGTGTGCCAAGTTTGACTCAATTCCATTATTGGTGGAGTTCAGAATGCTCTTTGATTGTAGGTGAACTATAAATCCCAGCAACTACAACTCCCACAGGAGAAAATCAATACCCTACCCCAATCCAACCAGTATTCAAATTTGGGTGTATTGGGTATTTCTGAGGAACGGTATTAAGGGGTCGTGACTTAGGTG